TTTTTCAGCACAGTTTCCAGAGTTCAGTTCTTATTGAACCCATGAGTATGCAGATAAGGTTCTCTTTTTTTGCTGTCTGGGTCCCATTAAAGTGGATCTTGCATTAAAATGGAAGGTCCACTTTATTAAAACCCATCATAGTTAAAATGCCTACAATTACATTTTCTAAAATAAAGCTATCGGGTAAGAAATACTCATCTTGTTCCCAGCTCCCAATACTTCTGGGAGGAGTAGGTGTTATTACTGTGCCTCACTACTGCCTCCTGGGAAATCTGGATACCTCTAACTTCCAGCTTTTTCGAGAAGCCAGTGGTAAGGCACGGTGAGGTCACATATGTCCTATCGCTTAAAGAGTTGGAAGCTGGGATTAGGGTGAGCATTATTTTCCTTTTTTGTAATATCTTTATTTTCAAATTGCCTTTGGAGGTGATTTGACTTTAAGGGGCAGGAGTCATTCAATAGATAAAATCTTATGTTTTAATAGAAGGTCTGGTTCAAAGTGGATCTACTCCCCCATTTCACTAAAATCATATCAGCATGCAACTCCACGATAGCTGTTGTTCCAGTTCCTGGTTGAGTGAGGCACTTGTGATTATAGCCCTGGCCTCATAGATACATCCTGGGAAGGTTATATCATCAGTGCCTTCCCTCTCAGATGATGTGCACTGTCACAGTTCTAAGAAGGCAGACCCACAGTTCCAGGCAAAATTCCAGGAAGTAAAGGGAAATGGTTCATCTTCTTTTAGTGAAATAATTTACCAAGAGAAGAAAGATCAGAGGTAGCTGGGTGTAGTCAGACAGCAGAGTCCATTTACTCCAAGTCACCCAGAGAGCAGAGCAGAGTCTGTCAGTATAAACTGAGAGTGGACACGGACCTGTCATCGGCCTTCTCCTCCAATCAGCAGGGGATCTGTGAGTGGATCCTCTGCTGATTTGGAATGCAAACTAACTATGTGAAAGGGCCCTAAGTATCTGGTGCAGTTTGCCATTATTAATATTTCTAAAGTTGCATCTGTTGTACTTTTTTGGGTCTATGCACACTGGCTTAAAAAACACTGCTCCTATAGAAGTTTAGTGTTTTGCCTGTAGAAGCAACTAATGTCATCCTATGTGTCCATGCACATTAGGTCATTTAGAGACATATTTTAGGTTAAAAGTTTAGAAGAAAAGAAACTTCTGCTTTGCGTTTTTGAAAGCTGTTTTCTGTCAGAAAAAATGCTAAATGCTGTTTGATGCTTCTAAACTCTAGTACAAAACAACGCTCAAAATTATTGTTTTTTTCTGCCAAGAACACTGGTATTTTTTAAGCCAGAGTGCATGGACCATTAAAGATAAAAGTGAAATTCCTTTTTAAGGAGAATTGAACTCACTTTGTGATCTGGAGATGCAACAGAGATGGTGTGGAGATCTCTTTAAAGTGAGAGAAAAGACTGTTACCATTGGAACAGGGGACCCCTTTGGAAAATCTGTCATCACCTACTGTTCCAGGAACAGCTATAAATTTTGTAATTACCTATCACTTAAAAAGAGAGAAGAGTCAGGTCCCAGCAGCAACAAACCTGACAAATGTTTAGTCTTTAGATGTACCCTTATATTTTGTTCTTGTTTTTTTTAAAATAAAGATATAAATTATGATGATAGATTTGTCCAACTATCCAAATATCACCACGTCCCCAAATTTGCCTGCATTGTACAGGCAATATTTTTCAACAATGCAACCCCCCCCCCCCAAAAAAAAAAAAAGACACAGCAATATTCTACAGATGAATAGGTGTGATCCTAATTGAGAAGCAGATATTCTGCAGTATACTATAATACTGATACAATTTATGCAGGAGGTTATAATCCCCATATATTTATTGTTACTCTTTTGGTACATACAAAGTCAGAATAATTCTAGCCACTCTCAAAAATTTGCTATAATAAAAAAACATCAGATATTAAATGGCTTTTGTTTGGACCATACATTCCAAAATAATATTACACATAATATTGAAACACAATCTATTTTGTAATAATGCTTAATTTTCTTAAATCACTTTTGATGGGTGTGGCTGCTGTTTAAAACTTTCAGAACATTAAATTGCACTTCTTTACAACTTTACCAACTTGAAGGCATTCTCTTGACTCCTGCCCCAACCACATGGTTGGATCATGTCTTTGCTTAGAAGCATGAATGAAGCCTGAAGGGAATTTAAAGGAATGCCCTGCTACAAAACCTACATTTGTAGTCAGATTCTTTTCTTTTTAAAACTTTTGTTTGTGTAAAGTGATGATCGGGCTGTTTTTTTTTTTCTTACTACAATATAGGCTAGCAAACAAATGTATTATTTCACACATGGCTGGGCGTTGTAAAATATAAAGCTAAGTAAATATTAGTATAGAGTTGTGAGTGTATTTCATGTATTTCTTACAAATATTCATTTTTTTGCCTCTGGGTGATTGAAAATTAGTAATAGTTGATTCCAGAACATATTCCACCCAAAATTAGCAGACCGCTTTAAAAACCTGGGAGCTGGCACTGAGCAACCTATATCAATATATAAGCAGCTAAAAGATACACATAAAGGCATCAGGTAAAAGTAAATCATTTGAACCTTTTTCACACAGGCAATGGTAAAAACAGGTGGTGTTTGAACAATGGTTTTAGCTCACCCCCCGGCCGTCCACCTAAAGGTTAAACAACAGCCAGAAGAGGCTGTACACATGCCATAACTGTGATCATTTGCATGTGGCAACAGCAAATTTAATGCAACATGCTGAGTTGACAGATGGCACCACCTGTCAAACTTGGCCATTTAAGTCAATGGGGCCATAAACAGACAAATGAAACCAGCGCTCAAATCCTCATGCAGACTGGAAGAAATACAGAATGCCAAACGAAGAGGTGCAGCCCTTCAAAGATCGGGAAATCTGGATACTATTGGACAAAAACAAACAAGGGCGCACTCTCATCGTGCATTACCGTGGTACACCACGTATTTAATGTGTAATCAAATGGATATATACTCACAAACCAAAGGAGAATAAAAGCAGAATAAAGGAAGCTTGGCATATAAGTATTGGACCAGCAGGTACACATTTCAGCTCTGAGGAAGGGGGTTCTTCTCCCGAAACGCGTCAGCTTATCCCTATTTAGGGCACAGCATTGCATTGACTGCCATTGCGGACTATTTATTCTGCTTTTATTCTCCTGTGGTTTGTGAGTATATATCCATTTGATTACACATTATATACGTGGTGTACCATGATAATGCACGATGAGAGTGCGCCTTCGTTTGTTTTTGTTCAATGGGGCCATGCTGCAATCACTAGCCACATGCCTGACTTGCAGTTGTAGAGCATTAGCCCCATTATAAAATGCCATTTATAAAAAGCAAAACAAAACAACAAAGAAAAAAGGCAGTCAGGAGGTGGCATGATCCCCTCCTGAACACCTGACAGCAGGTCGCTTTAGAGCACTGGCTAGTGTGAACCAAGTCTTATCTGGTTAATTTTGAATAGGAGTTATTTTAAAAATTAAGTGAACAGTACAAATGCAGATACAACATCAATAAAATTAAATAGTAAGTGTTTCCAACATAAAACCAGACCTTCGGGTCTGGTATGGATTTTGATGGGAATCCTCACGCCAAAATTTGTTTAAAAAAAATGGCGTAGAGGCCCTCTCCCAAAATCCATACAGACCCTTATCCAAGCATGCAGCCTGGCAGGTCAGGAAACCATACCAGATAACATGCCCTCAACATGGGGAGGTGCTTTGGGGCAGGGGGGCTCCCCCCCTAAAGCATCTTGTCCCCATGTTGATGGGAACAAGGGCCTCTTCCCAACAACCATGGCCAGTGGTTGTGGGGGTCTGCAGGCGGGGGGCTTATCAGAATCTGGAAGCCACCTTTGACAAGGGGGCCCCCAGGGTCCTGTCCCCCCCCCATGTGAATGAGTATGGGGAACATGGTACTGCTACTCATTCACAAAAAAAAAAGTGAAGTGTAAAAAATTACAGTAGACAGCCTTTGACAAGTCCTTTATGAAAAACAGAAATTAAAAAATGTCCCCCAAAGTAGATCCAACATCAATCATAATGCACCACCGCCATCCAGCACGAAAAAAAAAAAAACCCCTCCGCTCTCGACACTGGCTCCCACCGTCTGACAGCTGCGCCAGGATGACAATTCTTAAATACTGTTATAACATCACAAGGGGGTGGAGTCACCCCACCCCCTTGTAACGTCATCATGCGCTGTAATTGGCCAAAGCATTGAACCTGGCCTTTGGTCAGGTGCATTGCTTTGGCAAATCAGAATGCACTGTCAGGGAGCAGTGCATTGTGAAGCACAACATGTGAATGGCCTTACCGTTCATGTGTTTGCTGAACACACGAATGTTCGAGCTCAACTAACATTTGACTCGATCATATAGCCCATCACTATCAGCTGTAAGGGACACACGTCATGGTTCTGGAGCTGAAACGTCATCTCGAGAAAAAAAGCGGGAGCATTTGGGTTTTCCAGAATATGCTGATATAGCTAATCTCAGCGGAGTGATCAAATTTGGGGGCTCTCATTAGGTATAGACAGCACTGTGTAAGAAAAATATCAGATAAAGTGTTTTTAAATTTGCTGATGCACCCCCAAGAGTATGCCATGACAGCCTGAGTCCTATGTAAGTGGGTTGGATGATGCTGGCCATCAGTCAACCTTGAAGACCAGCAGTACTAAAGTCTCACAAGCACAGCTCCAAGGAGTATGTGAGTACTGCAGAATGCAAATTGCTTTTTTAAAACTTAATTTTAAAAGTGCAAGACTGCATATAAAAATACTAGTTCCTGAAACTCTATACTCCTTACAGGTATAAAACAAATAGTTCTTTAGTTGGTATTTTTTTTTTTTTTGCATATTGCTTGATACACTATTTTGCCAAAAGTATTGGGACACCCCTCCAAATTTTGGATTCAGGTGTTCCAATCACCTCCATGGCCACAGGTGTATAAAATCAAGCACCTAGGCATGCAGACTGCTTCTACAACATGTGTGAAAGAATGGGTCACTCTCAGGAACTCAGTGAATTTAAGCGTGGTATCATGATATGTTGCCACCTGTGCAATAAGTCCATCTATGAAATGTCCTTGCTGCTAAATATTCCACGGTCAATTGTTAGTGGTATTATAACAAAGTGGAAGCAATTGGGAAAAACAGCAAGGGGGAAAGTGCATGCTGAAGTGCACAGTGCGCAGAAGTCCCCAACTGTCGGCAAAGTCAACAGCTAAAGACCTCCAAACTTTGTGTGGCCTTCAGATTAGCCCAAAAACAGTGCACAAAGAGCTTCAAGGAATGGGTTTCCATGGCCAAGCAGCTACATCCAAGCCTTAAATCACCGAGTGCAATGCAAAAAGTTGGATTCAGTGGTGTGTAAAGCACACTGCTGCTGGACTCTAGAGCAGTGGAGATGTGTTTCTCTGGAGTGAGGAATCATGCTTCTCTATCTGGCAATCCGATGGACGTGTCTGAGTTTGGAGGTTGCCAGGAGAACGGTACTTGCCTGACTGCATTGTGCCAAGTGTAAAATTTGGTGGAGGGGGTTTATGGTGTGGGGTTGTTTTTCAAGCCATGGGTTTGGCCCCTTAGTTCCAGTGAAGGGAACTCTTAAGGTGTCTGCATACCAAGACAGTTTGAACAATTTCATGCGTGTGGGAACAGTTTGGGGATGGCCCTTTCCTGTTCCAACATGACAGTGAACAAAGCAAGGTCCATAAAGACATGGATGAGCGAGTTTGGGGTGGAGGAACTTGACTGGCCTGCACACAGTCCTGACCTCAATCTGAAAGAACACCTTTGAGATGAAATAGAGCGGAGTCAGGCAGCTGCTACCAAAAACAGCTGGCGCGAGGAGAGAGCACTGCGCATGTGTGCAGATACAATAGCCCTGAGCGGCATCTGGAGAGGCACATTACTGTAATGTTCAGTTTTTGTGGAGAAACTCTACATCTGTAATGGAAGTATGTCCACTCTTTTCAACAAGAGAAGTGCTGGTATATACTATTCCGAGGATATAGAAAAACATAGAAGGATTTAAGAATATCAGATCAGATCAGAATACTTGATTAACCCAAACAGGATCCCAAATCTCCGTGAAGGTGAATTTACGCTTTTAAACCAACTTTCATAGCCATTAGAAGGCCACATAGTGCTGAACAGATAATTTTGGAGTTTAGCTGTGAGGGAGCTATACTTTTGATATAGTATTATGGAAGGGGTAGAGACACAAATACGGGGAATTTGAATTACTAGAGTCAGATAAGAAGCTATCAAATGGCTCAACCCTCTGATATCCTTCCAAAACTGAAGAATCAGACTATCAAAGTTTTGGAGTTATTCTTTAAATCATAAAATCTGCTCGTGATGCTGGCAATCCTACACCTCTTAGACTCTTCAGCAAAGAGATATCTTTAACATAATAATAGATTCAAATAGTAATAGCAGGATCTATAAGACCGCCAATGCAGATTCACTGCTACAGAGTAAATATATTCAGGTATGGGTATATCATCTTTCCCATCTCATAAACATAAAAAGTTTGCAAGCTTTATTTGAGACCATAATAAAGATATTTATTTTCAAATACTGCACCCACTGCTTTTTTTATTCCTCAATTTAATTTTTACTGCTTTATAATTTTTCAAGCCTCTCTCAGAAGAATAAAAAGGACATTATCAAGATGCAGACTACAATAAGAGCCTACATTGACTTTAGAAGCTGTTAGGTTTACATTTGTCTGCACAAACTAGCACGCATCAGTCTCTGTATTAAAAATACATTACAGTAGATAATACAGTACTTTTGCACTGCAAACGTTTTCAGTGTTTTCTTCATGACAAATTTTGTAGAATCACAGAATTACGGGAACATACTATATTATCGTTAAAATGGTAGTAAACTCCACTTTTGAAGTTGTACCCACAGGTAAGCCTAGAATAAGTTGTAATAATATAACTTGTGGTGTTTAGGAGATATTCACGCTGGTGATGTCGCACAATGTGCTCCGAAGGTATGGCATACCTGCGCTGTCCCTTCAGAGCTGTGTGCCACACTCAGTGACTCCCGTGCGCAAGGAAAGCAGCAGTTTTACTACCGCTTTAAAGGAAATCTATGGTCAGAGAATATACTTTAATTTTATAATATCAGCATTAAAATAACAATACAAACAATACTTATAATTGACAGTCCATTATAAGCTAACTAGAAAATTTTATTTTAATGTTGTGAGTTCTGCCTGTCTGCTGGCCATCTCTTTCCACAACTTCCTTGCATGCTTTACAGCCTTTCCTCTACTGTTTACTTTCAATTTCTAAGGACTATATATCCCATGGTACCTGGCTGCCTGAAAGCAGAGATTCCTGTACTGACACCTGAAACTCCTCTCAGCTCCTCTGTAGTTCAGAAGGCAGGCTCTGTGAATGTGTGACACAGCAGTGCCTACTCACAGGTTATAGTGGATACATCTCACAGACTTCAAGAACGTATATGTGCGGAGATCTTCACAAGTTTACAAACTTCAAGATTGTTGAGAATAATACTAATAGGCTAAAAATTTTTGGACTACAATGTGGAAATTAATGAATGATTTTACATTTTGATCATAGATACTGTCAGGGATCTGGGTGTGACCAGAAATGTGTGGACTGACACAGGGAAGTAGCAGGCTTCAGGAACACAGGCGTAGTCAGGGCTGGAGAGGTGGAATGGTCAGGCGGGCCGTAAGGTACTGTCAGGCACCGCCCGGTGGGATCTTTAGTGACCCACAGAACAGGATTCCCCAGGGCGCGGAGTCTAAGCCCCAGTCTGCCTTTTCACCAGAGCCCCTGATGGTGGGGATGGACTTGGCGCAGGACTGAGACCAGGTCGCGGCCCCTGAGTGCACCCAAGTGTGGTAGAGGGGTCCGCCGAGGGTATGTACCGGGGAAAGCCTGATGTGAAGGGGCTGGCAGGTTTGGACAGTAGTGACTGGATCCGTGCGGGATGGATGGATCGTCTGGGTAGCGTCAGGCGTAGTCAGGCAGGCCAGGTCAGCAACGTGAGGTACCGGAGGAGGAGCAGGCAGAGAATAGTCAGGGTCACAAGCCGGGTTCAGTAACTCACGGGTAGCGCGGTACAGAGGACCAGGCAGAAGGATGGTCAGGCAAGCCAGGAGTTCAACAGGAGACGGTCAGCAGAGGTCAGGATCAAAGCAGGGTCAGCAACTAGGCAGATAGGCAGGAACACAGGATACCAGGTACAGGGGCTCATGGGAAACATACACCAAGACCCTGACTGCAGGTCTGGCCATTCCTTAAATACACCTCCTGCAATCAGCCCCAGGTGTTGGCTGATTGCAGGAGTGAGCTTCTGGCTGCTGAGAGCACCTGCTGGTCAGCCCTGGTACTGCAGCCCACACAGCAGGTGAGTCCCACCACCAGTGCTGAGTCCATTCCTGACAGATACTCTTAAAGCGGAATTCCCCTTTTTTTTTTCTCCCTTGAAAGACAATGGTCTCCCTCTTCACAGTCTGTTTTGGCAATATATATGTAGATTTTTGTTTTCCTAAATACCCTTTATTGATAATTTCTGTCTCCACTTCCGGTCCCGGCCACCTAGGCGATTACATCATCAGGCATTCCCTAGGGCTTCTGTGATATCGGCATCATCTATCCCAGCAGTCCTAGGGAATACCTGATACCAAAATCTTGCGTTATTATGAGACTGGAAGTGACACGATTGTGGGGATTTTTTTCACACTGCGCAGGTGCGAGATCGCTCCTTCTTCACACTGCGCAGGAGCGAAAACGGGAAGTGCATGCAGGGTAGCCAGCTGCACAAAATTCCCAGAAGAATGTCTGAGCGAGCTTCAGGTGCCCAAACTTAAGATGGCAGTGTTCACAATATGAGAGTGCAGTAAGTATATTAAGGAAAGCAAAGGATTACAAATACAGGTTATCTCAACTTGCATTGCCTAAGCTGCCACTCTCACAAGGGTGCCTTTAGAAAAAAAATTATTAAATGGCTGGAACTCCACTTTAAGGTCTGGTTCACACATATGAGGTGCAGAAAATGCTACAATCCCTGTACATTTTCTGCTCTGAATTGCAAAAGCACTACATTTTGCGATCGGCTGTGGGTGTCAATTGAAAGTTAATAACACTACAAAAGCAGATAGCAAACATAGTGCATTTGTCTGCTCCAGATCGCTTGGTACAAAACAATCATGTCATCCGGTTCCAGTGCAGCTCAAAAAAAGTTGCCTGCATGTTTCTGTGCTGTGCATTGCAGTTTGAGCCCATTCAAAATTAATGGGCTCAAATCACATGTGAAGGTCATAGCAATGTTCCTGTGCAATTCACGTACAAGCTATAGTGTGAACCCAGGCTTAAGGTTCTAAAGAGGAATGCAACCAGTTATCATCCATTAAGGGTCACTTGGATAAGGCAGATATTTATTTCTGAATGGGCTGGTAAAACACCTTAATGCACAAAAAGAAGTCTTGACTATTGGCATGGCAATTGCCTTGTACTTTGCTGCAGCTTGGGTGCCTTGTCCACTACTGTCATTGGGTGTTGGGGTACCATTCTAAATTAAGTTCCCCTTTTAATATACTTATACGAATAAGCGCAATTTGTTTGAAACATGTTAGAGAGACATGACTTATATATAGGCTAGGATCTGAGTTGAAACCAGTTTTTAATTTACCTTACACTGGAGTTGAATACAGTGTGTGGCAGCACCTGCATGCCCAGGGGCGGACTGACAACTCATGGGGCCCTCGGGCAATAGGGGATCATGGGGCTCCTGTGTCCTCGCCCACACCCAAAAAAAGCCTATGAAAAAGCCAATGAAAGGTACCAGGGGCATCCCATGGGGTCCTCTACTGACCCTGGGCCCTCGGGCAGTGCCCGAGTGCTCAAATGGTCAGTCCTCTCCTGTGCATGCCATATCCCCTTGAAACATTGTTCTAAAACCCAAAGATCCTGATAGTAGATCTATTGATGTTCCACTTCTAGTAACAAAAAAACAATGCTGGTCATTCTGCAGTGAAATCACTACAGTGATGTCAACCTGTGGACAGGTAGTATAAAGCAGCCAATAGATTATACAATAGTATTTCCTTCCAGCATGAGTGGAAGGAAAGAAAATTGCTTGATTCCCCCCATCAATACAGTCAGTGTTCATCCGCATTGTTATTGTGTTCTGCTGGCAGGGAGCCTTCCTGGCCGGCAAAACACAGTGGTGTTCATTTACTAAAGGCAAATAGGTTGTGCACTGCAAGTGCACTGAAAGAGTAGTTGCTCTAGATCTGAGGGGAGCATGCAAAAAAAATTAAAAAAACTGCATTTTTGCTTGCAAATGATTGGATGAAAGAAATCAGCAGAGCTTCATCTCATTTCAGAGCTTCCCCTCGGATCCAAAGTAACTGCACTTGAAGTGCACTTGCAGGTACACGTGCAGTGCACTTACAGTGTACAGCTTATTTGCCTTTAGTAAATCAACCCCAATGATTACTGCTAGCACCTATAGCCACCAGTCATACGTAAA